AATGGAAGACAAAGTTGCTGAATTACAATATCTTCGACGGGTTCTGAGAGTCCATGGCTGTCTGCGCAACTTTGTAAACCAGTGCTTACAAAAACGACACCAGAGACCAAATTCAACCGGCCCCAAATTTTGGCGGGCTCTTCCGTACGTGAAGAACGTCTCGGAAGCCGTCAGTCGTGTTCTCACTCCATTTGGAGTTGGGGTTGCACACAGACCGGAAGCAACCATCAGGCGTCAAGTCATAAGGCCGACAGACCTACTGCCACGTCAGGAAATGTCTGGAGTCGTTTACCGGATCTGGTGCAGTTGCGCACAAAGCAACTACGCCGGAGAAACTGGGAGATTACTCCGGACGCAAATTGCCGAGCACGCAGCAGCAGTGAGGCGGGGAGACGCTAACTCTCAGGTGGCGACTCATTCGACGGGACCCGGTCATATTTTCACGTTTCAAGAGGCCGAAAACCTCGCAAGGCGTGACAACCGTGTGAGCCGCGAGCTGCTCGAGTCATGGTTCTCAGACCCGCAGCCCATCCACAATCGCGATGTCTTCCTGTTACCGTATTCCGTTCTGAGATTTTCCCTGGGCAGGAGAATCAGTCACGTGGGGAGGGCGCGGGCGAGCAATTATCCCAGTGACAGTAAGTCGAACTGCTGAGCAGTCTTCATACCGGCATCCAGCACGGATGACGAAGTCGCGGCGTTTAATGACTCGGACGCGGACTGACAAGCCACCATCTCATCAATTACGTCCCCATTGGTGATTGCGAGAGCTGTTAATTACAGTACGCATATGGTCCCACGGCAGCCACGTGCTATAAATACTGCACTCCTTGTGCCGCCATTACCCTTATCTGCGACTGTCCCTGATGATGGGTTAGAGCGAGAATCCGAAACGTCAGGCCAATAAATATCTTGTTCCAATGATTGTACCTTCATCTTCTGAGTATCGTTAATCTTTGTCTAGTGGTTTTTATTGTGTTTGTTGCGCACTGACCGATGGTCACTATGCGGGACAAGGATAAATCCTACCTCGCAGTGAAATCGAGTACTATGCCCAGCATCACTTATGTCAACTACCCCTGTCAATATACAGGTCAACCTGGAAGTAAATCGAAGACTAAATTACGTGAGAACAAGAGGATCGTCCAAATGAGATACGTACTATCGCTTACAGTTGCCTATTCTTTGGAGCAAATTCACACCACCAATATTGCCACTACGTCCATAGGTCGGATGACTGTAAGACTGCGCACGACATGGTCGAGTAAAACATTGTTGAACAGATTTATCGTACTCACGCCAGCGTATCCGACGCTTCGTGACCAAGCTTGCGGCCGTGACCGAGTCATAGGATTGACGAAAATCACAAATACCGATGCAGCTACCCACAATGGCTCGAGATTGATCTCGTCAATTAGTTCGCAATTTAAACTATGTTTTTGATCCTTACACGCTTCTCACTATAAACCCGAAAATAGGCCAGAAGATCCGCGTCAACAGATTATTGTCTTCAGATATAATTTCTTTAACTCTTAGACTAAAAAGCCCCGGAATTCATAACAGCGATTCCTATGGTCAGTTTGTCCCACGCCTATGCCCGAAAAGTACGCGCCAACCAGCAGCGGCAATATAAAGGACGCTTTTGACTAAAGTTTCGACAGACCATTATACGTAGCTATTGGTCCAACAATACCACTATTTCCGACCCTTTCCTGCCGCCCTTCTGTAGAACTGCCGGCATGCAAGTGGGAAACAATAGCAACTATGATGACCAACCACCTTACAAACGGTAACGATAATGCCGGGAAGACCGGGGATGCCCAATTTCTCAGTCGAGCTCGGAGTTTGTATTCTATAAACAGAGGTTGGGAATCTTTACGGATCTGGTCTGATTACAGGACAGAATACGGCTGGTGAATTGACTTCGCCTAAGACTGTTTACGAAACACGCCAACATAATTCAGTGGTCTTAGCAAATTTAGGCGCCTGTTTATGCGCCCGGTGACGCTTAACTGACAGTCAATGAAAGCTGGTTGTTATATGCGTCAGACAGGCATGGGAACCTTCCAAATAAAGTACGTGTTTAGGAACAAACGATAAGCAACCTTTTCATATCTAGCGGTTTGGCACCGTGCCGGTACCAAAAATGAAGTCAACAACAAACTCTGGAGTATGCAGCCAAGAAGAACTTGAGACGTGTCATGAGAACGCTGTTCTTTAATGGAGAGCGCCAGAGGTGTGGAGTCACGGTCTAAGACTCGAGCATTCGCTGAACAGAAGACATAGCCGACGGTGTGATGCATGCGAGAAATTAGACGGCCGATCAGCGTATACTGCAGCACCGAGCACGTGTGATGGCTTTGCTGACGCGTGCGGTCCAATCAGTGAGTGGTCGAATAGTCGACCCTCCCGGGGGGAGATTCTCGTGCACGCGATGACCAATCCGCAAGTGGCACGCCATGGACAAGAATGTTCTATAACTCTTTCAACGGCTATTGCACAATTAACAGGATTGCTCCAGAACGTATAAGGACCAACATAAATAGGGCACCTTTCTGACGAGTTGTTACCCGTGTTCTCAGACTGAGCGCAGAACAGTTGTTTTTCCTGAACACACTTTCTCCTCTTCCCTCTGCCCGTCGGGTGATAACGGTTCACCGATCGGAAATGCCTTCAGAGACTATACGTCTTATAAATATGTAGTCAAAACATATGTTAGTGGTAAATGTCAAATAAATCATATCTCAGTATGGAATAGCATGGGGTAAAAAGGAGTGTCTGGGAACCTATCTGCTTCCTGCCTTTAAGAGCGAGCAAGTCTCACCTTAGGTGACATTGGGTTCCACACTGCATAACGATGTTCACGGCTGCAGTGACGAATTTCTGGTCAGAGACCACTCCGAGGGGCCTGAGATGACGCACGTGCAATTGCAGCGACTACTCTCCCAACTTGAAGTGGGACATCCGCCGGAGACGGCGGTGAAAGTGCAGGTAGTCTCAATCGCTTTAATACAACTAGCGTCCTGTATGCACTCATGTTGCCACCCTCCTCCTCACTCTGTCCTTTCTGGCCGTGGTACCCTTGTTGGCTGGTATTCATACGGTCTACAGGGGCGTCACTCAGATATTTGCAAGCTGCTTATCTATGTACTAGGTCTCCGGTGTCTTTGTGCTTTCGTGCCTTGGGTCGATGATCTCTGAATTCCTTAGGTGCCGAAGTCGGCAAGATCCCATTCCGTAGCCGTGCCTGTTAGGGGTTAAGGGTTGGGGGTTGGGGTTACTGACTAGGGATTAAGGTTAGAGGTTGTAGTTAGGGGCTAGGATTTAGAGGCTAGGGGTTAGGATTGGGGGTCAGGCTGGGGCTTGTCTACTGCAGGTACGGCTACGAAATGAGATCCGACTACCATGTCGCCCACAAGCCTCAGAGGGGCCAGTCTGACGATAACTACATCCGCAATTAACGATAACATGCGAAGTCTGGCCTTGCGGCGGTAGGTCCTGTGCACTTCGCCAGGACTTTTGCAGATGTAATATGCACATAAACACAGTATGCAGCTTAATTATGCCGGTCGTGTCGATCTACTTGCGTATATTTAAGGCATTCGTATTGTGCACGAACTTTCCGCACAGTGTCCGCACCGACTTCTGAAAAATTGACTATTTTTAATATAAAAAGCGATGGTGTCTAACCAAGCAAATGTCCTACTTCAACATTTTAACTCGGAAGTAAAAATGGCTTATTTTCTGGTTGCAGATTAGAAACTGCTTAGTTGTCACCATTTTCAGTATCAGTATCAGTTTATTAAGGAAAATACAGGCAAGCGCCTTTTAACTCCCTATTGGTTACAAATCGTCGGAGAAAAACATTGATAAATAGGAAGATGTAAAAGGGATTTTGTACATCCTCTCGGACAGCTGACAGCTAGTCGAAAAAGAGTAATCGTTAACGGTTACTTACTAATTACAAGTAGTATAAATACGTATAATCTGGAACGTGATTACGTGAGTGGATGAGAGGGTGGTAATCGGGAAGCTTGATGCGTGTCGAGTCTACACTTGAAGGAATTCACACAGGATGAGGTTACAACATCCGTAGGCAGGGCATTCCACACTGCAACCACTCTGTTACTGAAAAAGAACTTTCGTCCATTGATCCTTGATTTCCCTGCGCGTAGTTTTAGTGGGTGACCGCGCAAAGTGGGCATGTTAGCTTGGCTGAAATAATCAGTGGGATCTTAACAACAGCCTAGGCCGTTGATGATGCGAAATGTTAGTATAAGGTCACCACGTAATTGCCTGTAGGAAAGGGGAAACAGGTTGAGAGTTGACAGTCTGCTTTCATAGGGCAGTGCTCCCAGACCTTGTGTCATGTTGGTCGTCCGCCTCTGGACCTTCTCCAAGACGGTATAATCCTTGGCAGTCCAAGGTCTCCACGCCTGTATGGCGTATTCTAGATGATGTCGCACGAAGGTGCCAAATATTTTGGAAAAGCAGTCAGAGTCAAATCCCATGAATGCTCGCCTAATGAGTTGCAATGTGGCCGTAGCCGATTTAGCAGCCTTCGCACAGTGCAGTGTTGGTTTGAGTGAAGATGTAATCCATACACCCAGGTCCTTCTGACTCTCAACCTTTTGAACTGGTGTGCCGTGTAGAAAGTAGGTCCTGGAACTGGGGGCTCTGAAGCTGCCGAGTTTAAGAAAGTTACACTTGCTTACATTGAAGGGCATAAGCCATCGCTTCGACCAGTCTCCGAGCCTGTTCAAGTTTGCTTGCAGGTGGTCTGCGTCTGCCGCATTGTGAATAACTTTCCACAATTTTATGTCGTCGGCAAACAGGATGGCATCACAGTCTAGGTCCTTGACGCAGTCATTTATGAAAACGAGGAATAACGTGGGACCTAAGACTGAGCCCTGAGGGACGCCACTCATCACGCTTACATCTGAGGACTGTTGACGCCCGACCTGCACTATTTGGGATCGTCCAGCCAAAAAGCTCTGGATCTATACAAGAAGGCGTCCACGAATTCCAGCGTTGCGCAGTTTGTGTAAGAGACGCTGGTGAGAAACGCTGTCGAAAGCCTTTTTGAAATCGATGTAGATGGCGTGCACCACATTGCCTTCATCACGTGCTTTGGTCCAGCGTTCGAGCGTAAAGAGCAGATTCGTGAGGCAGGACCTACCACTTCGAAAGCCGTGTTGGGCATCTAAGAGGAAGTGGTGATGCTCGAGGAACTGCATTAAGGCCTTCTTAATGATATTCAACATGATTTTGCAACAGATGGAGGTAAGACTCACAGGCCTGTAATTATTCGCAGGCGCACGACTTCCACCCTTAAAACGCAGAGTGATGGTAGCGGACTTCCAGTCAGAGGACAGGCATTCAGTAACAAATGACGTTTGGAAGATCAAGGCTAATGGCTTGGACATTTCGGGAGCTAGCTCCTTCAGCAGCTTGGCCGGGATTGCATCAGGGCCTGGGGAGGTCGAGTATTTAGGTTTGGTAACGCATTCCGAACAGTTGTTTCGGTGAAGAAGACGGCTTCGAGGGTAGGCGTTTCTTCGTCTTCATAAGCGGGTGAGAAAAAATCAGGTTCACTTGTCATGAATGACCGAAAGAATTGAGAGAGATGTTCAGCCTTATCCCTGTCATCGGAGATTTCCGCACGCCCAGCCGTTCGCCGCAGTGGGACGGGATCTTTGTTCCGTGTGCTCTGTCTTATGTAGCTGTAAAGGATTTTTGGATTAATCATGGCACAGTTCAAAAGATTATTTTCAAAAGCTTTCCGATTTCTGGCGATGAGAATTTTGGACCGACTTCTCTGTAACTTATAACTGCTTAGGGATTCTGACGTGCGATCCGTCAGCGATCTTTTCCATAGCTTCCTCTTCTTGTTAACTTCCTTCTTTAAGGACGGAGTCAACCAGCGAGGTCTATTTGTTAGTCTTCTGCGCATGATTGGGCAGTGGTTGGAGATGAGGTTGTGGACTAACTCTTTGAACTGACACCAAGCCTCTTCGACATCGCCGGAGAGAGTGGCTGCCCAGTAATAGAACTAAGATCCTTTTTCATCTGTTAGAAATCGCCACGCCAAATATAAGGTCGGGAATCGAGCCGTTGTGCAGGCAGGGAGAATAAGGTGTATTCCCACATGAGAACTACATGGTGGAGGCAATTAACAACGTCGATGTTGTCAGACGACCTGGTGAACACAAGATCGAGGCAGTTCATCTGCTGGCCCTCTCTAACTCTCGTTGGAAACATTACGTGTTGTGTGAGGAGCAGGTTGTCGGAGGTACGCAGTAGCTACTGGTCAAATGCTGCTTCAAAACAGTCGGTTGAGGCCGAGCTCCAGTTTATGTGAGGTGCATTTAAATCTCCAACGATGAGAGTAGTCGGCCGCGTTGAAAGTAATCTGAGCTCCTCCAGCAGTTGGGCATCAGCGTCATGGTCATTTCTCGGGGAGCGATATACTGTCAAGATATCGAGACTTTGAGATCCCGGTGCCCTTATGGTCAGCCTTAATGCTTCGGTACTACAAGTCAGTTGGGCAGTTTTTTCTGAAACGTGCAAGCCGTTCTTAACAAATGTTACTATGCCTCCACCCCTTCTGTTTTCTCTGTCTCGGCGGAACAGTTGAAATCCAGGGAGCATGAGCTCTCTATCTATCATCAACCTGTTCGGACAACCATGTTTCTGTTATTGAGATAACGTCTGGATGGAGGTCGTAGGTATGGATACGGAGTTCGTCCAGTTTTGAAAGTGCACTTTGCGCGTTGGTATTCATGAATTCATGCGAGATTTGTTTTAAATCCCGACACGGGCTACTGGGGTAGCTGTGCGGTCAATCGGATCAGCTTGATCCAGAGGGGAGCGGAATGTCGTTTGACAATCCGGTCTTTGTAGGTTGTCAAGTCTTTTCCTCCGTTGGTTTGCCGTGTTCTCAATTCTAGGACAAGTTCGCGGCGTTTCATTCTCTCGGCAGGTGAGTAGTCCGGCTGAAAAAAACACTCCTTTATGGGATTGCTTCAGTCGAAGACGCCTGGAAAAGATTAGTTTCGCTTGCTCATTGCTACCTAGGACGATTTTAAGGGGTCGTGGTCGCGTCTTCGGAGCGACATTTGTACGGCTACTAAGACGAAACGCCTTTAGGACTGCGACATCTTCTGTTGGTTGCAGCATTTCATTTAGGAGTTTCTGGAATTGCTCTTAGTCAGCAGCGATTCGTTCCCTGGGGGTACCGGCGGAGGACTCTGGGAGGCCCTGAACTATGATGCAGTGGTCCTTGTTAAGAAATCCTCTGTCTTCTGCATTTTGGACGTCGTTGGCTGGCCCTATGGCCGCGTCGAAGTGGACTGGAGAAAAGGAGAGGGCTGCCATATTGGTATTTATGTCCCCGTGAAGTTCGTCCGCGGATCCTGTTGAGGCATCGTGAATAGTTGCACACTGTGGTCTATCAACAATGCCTCCCATCAGAAGGCTCTGTGGAGAGCTTGATCCCCATGAATTAGAGGCTTCATCAGCTCGGTTCTTAACTCTGTTGACATGGGAATTAGCGGTGGCAGCTAATTCCACCCTGGGTCCATAGCCATATGTCTTTGCGCTAATTGATAATCCCTCCAAGTTAGGCTCAGGAAATGAGAACACTGTATGGGAATTATTAAGGTTAGGCGTCATCTGTCCCATTACTACCACTTCTTCCGTTGGCATATTTACATTCGTTTCATTTTTCAACTGCATTTCAGATAAGGCTACTATACTCTCTTTCGTATTCTGGCGTCTTTTCCCTGTGGTGTTAAGTGTCGTCTTCTTCTTCCTCTTATTCTTTTTTTCATCGGAAGCCACGACTTGACTACTAATAGTAGTTGTCTTATTCACCACATGATTGCTTTCTGGCGATTCCTTACGCTGGATGGCTCTCGCTCTACTCCGAGTTAGCCTCTGCGTATCATGATTCTTCGGCAGAAACAATTATGTGGGCAATTTCACTTCGAGGGTGAGGTCAATTTTTAAAGACCCAACGAGGATTTATTCATAACTGTTGGGTCAGGGGGGTAATGGTTTTTCTGTTATGCATTTACCTTCGTTTTAAGGTTTATCCTATACTCATTGGATATTCCGATCTGGTTATGAGCCCCGCCTACTTCAACGTGTGAAGCCCACTAATTGTGAATCAAGATTGACTAAAATCGACTTATCCAAGTGCGGCAAGGCTCACCAGACTTTAATAACATTAGCAGTCAAAACTGGTGAAAGTCAAGACCATTTGCTCTCATCACTCCTCATCAGGCTGTGACTATAATCCCACTCTAAATGAAATTTTGCAGGCCTCGAGCGAGTACCGTGGCAAAAGACTGCCCATATCTGAAGTGGTTGTCATGTGTTACTTACTTCTGACGAAACATTTATGTGTATGGAAAATGTGTAATTCGGATTCACAAACATATGTCACCTGAAGGGAGCAAATGTCCAACTGACTAGTTGGCTATGAGGAGCACAGTTGCTGAACTTTATTCTCCGTAAGACATTTTTACATTAGATTCTGTGAGGACGATCTTGGAGAGGTCAGAAATTGGCTAAATAATCAAGCAATGTTGCAAATGCAGCAGAAGACGGCGTACGTTTAGATTTTCTGCTTAATGATATTTCGCAGAAATGAATACGTGAGCAACAACTATCACAAAGGTTCCCTGAATGTTCAGGAAGACATAAAGTTCACAATGTTACTAAGGTAATTCGCAGACTTGTCAAATTATCTAACGTCTTATGTTCAATCTCTCGGCGTTTGTTTAGATCGATCAGCGGCAGTAAAAATCTAAACACCGCCGAGGATGAATGCCCGTCCGTCGTTCGACCTAAACGTTAACCTATTTCGTACAATTTAGGCACCGAAACCATCACAAAGGTATATTACTGATAACAGGAAAGAACAATTTTTAGTTTTCCTTTCAATGTCAGGAAATGTAATCGTTATTTCACCACACAGCTCATATATTTCCGCGTACAACAACTTTTTTGCGGCGGATACCGCTTCCCCTTTGTCGGCGGCTGCAATTACGGGCATTGTTATTGGAGGTAATCTGCGTTACGTTATTTTCACCATTTTTTTACTTTTTTTACCTTTGGTCGGCAAGACATTTCTTATGACACTAACCATTATTTTTTCACTTTTTCCCCATCTTCTTAAGAAGGCCGAAAAAGCGGCTGAAATATCCATTCACAAACTAGAATTTAAATATTTCTACCGTTTTCCCATGCAAGCCCTGAAGTAAGCATATACTATTCGAAACATTTTATCTTAGTTCACAAGTATAATTGTCTTTCTCACCGAAGTATGTATCGTTCCACGGCAAATGTTGCATAAAACAATCTCCATTCTAAAAATAACTATGATTCATTGCGTTTATGCGTTTTGTTTGATGTTTAAAACGGTTAGGAGATATGAAAATAACCTTTTTTACAGTATGCATTTTTCGGACATGCACTTTATTAAAGTTGGCGAATCCCAGAGTCAGCTGGGAACAGATTCCTAAGTCTTATTCCTTTGGATGCTGGCTGGATAATAACCAACCTAAATGGTACATAAGAGTCTAATTTTGGTAACATTCGGTTGCATGAATATCATTCCACAAACGTAATGTCACTTACGGGAGCTACTGTCCGTCTTTCCCACCGGTGAGACCTGCGCTTCAATATCGGGAAACTATGACACCCTGTTTGGTTTCCGAAACGATGGTGGCAATATGCAAATGTTTTCAGTTCATTTAATGTCGGTCGGTTTTGTGTATAGACATTTTGCAGAAAAACTTTCGCTGTTGCATTTTTGTAAAAAGTCGGATAATACCTTACTGAAATACTCACTTGTCATCCGTATGACCTATGGTAAGGCTTCTACACATTTAGACAAATTGTCAGTCAGCAATGAGGCACACGCAGTTAGGTTCTGAGGATTTCCAATCAGGATCCCGACGTTACACAAATCTCAAAATTATATTTCCAAATCATGTTTTACTTATTAACTCTCCCTGGCGAAAACTAGGGACGTTTTTTTCTAAACGCATTCCGCACAGGAACTAAAAAACTTTCTTTAAAACCAGAGACTGATATTAAATTCTGACAAGAGGAGCAACCAGGATTGCAGCTTATCGTAGGGGAAATAAATGATGCGATTAGAGAAACCGATCAGACTCCTGGCCTTCGCGCACTCTGAGATGTGAATACTTGCAACGACTTTGCCTTAGCAATCACACACAGTCTCTCTTCATCAGTAAGCTTATGTCTAACATTTACCAATTAAAGGCACGTGAGGGGGACATTTTGTTGAATTTTTGGCAAACGACTATATATGGTAGTTTGCGATGACTTGCGTTTAGGCTCTTTCGCCAGAATCTCGGTATTCCTCTGAATATTTGATTGCACTTTAATGGAAAAAATGCATCCCCAAGATCAAACACAGTTTTTAAGGCTAAAATTTAAAATATATTCTTTAGATAATCAGGAAAATCAGTCCTATCGCCTTTCTTTTCTTGCCCTTTCAGAGTTTTTATCTGTGTCCTAAAAAGAGTTCAAATATGGGGAGTGTATTGCCCTTTGCATTTACTAACAGTTTCTTTACTCGAGTTTCCAATCGTACATCTTAAAAGGGTTGTTGAATTTAAACTCAAATTGTCCCTTAGTTGATCCCATTGTGAACACTTTGTTGGGCTCCGTGGAACTATAACCTGTGACGGCAAAAACAAGGACAGAGTACTGATAACGTTCTAGATTCCACTATTAGGTCCTACCAACAGCCGTCGGTGTGGTCAAATTTGGACCAATTTACCCCAGTTTATACTGCACTTTGTGCTAAGAGTCAAGCCTTGTCCACCAATATTTTTCATGGTAACTACAACTCGTGCAAAATAATTTTTATACCAATTATTAAAATGTTTTAGAACGCAAGAGCCACGCTCCAATTTATGCCGAATATTTGATACCGCTCGTGTATTGTTTGCCTTTCCCTTTGGCATTAAATCTGAACAAACATTTGCTTTATACTGCACTTTCTAAACAGGCGTTTTACCTTGGAACACTCACCTTGAGCCATTTTTTCTTTTAAGTACTGGCTTTTGTCCTCCTCATAATTGCAATTTTGCTGATCATCTACTGTTGTCGGCATCGAAATTCTGGATATCAGAGCGCCTATGACACAGAAGAGGCACTAACAAATGCAAACGCCCAATCTGCTGATTATGCTCTTCGCCAAAAGGCTAACGGCCATCCCGATGTCAAACCCGAACTCTTTATTTGACATACACTCCTAGATGTTCAGATTTTTTAGTCACAGGAACTAGTCGCATTTTAAAATCGATGTACTCCTCGTCATTTTCTTTTTTCCACATTATGTTGATTTTAAGGCCATCTATTAGACAACCTTCTGTATATATTTTAATCAGCTTCGATACTCTATCCTTCCTGTTTACCTTCTTCCGCGCTTTCATCTGAAATTGTACTCGTCGACCTTCCTACTTGTCTGGACAAGTTTCATTTGTGATATTTTATACCTTCGAAAAGCACGATGTAAGATGAACTCCGTTGACAAAGAAGGCATCTTTTAGTCGGAACATGCTTTACTTCTGTAATCTGTCTGAAATATCACCCAGTCCTTCAGTGACGACCTTAAACTTAGTTCGGTAGTTCTTAAATCACGATCTTAAACATTTACCGGGAGCTCAGTTTTGCTGAGGTTGAGATTTTTTGTAAATCATCGAGTACTGTTGGTCTTCTCTGGGCCATAAGAACAGCCAGGTTTGCATATACTACCTCATTAATTATCAAATGTTAACTTCGATGTCTATTTGTATGCGCTTGCTGTATAGTCTGAACAGAGGCTGGAAATGATATAGAAAATCTTGACAGATTGCCGTTCTAGAGAATTCATGGTGGGTATGCATTTTTCTGCCTAAGAGTTTTCATGGTTTATGATAGGCACGATGCTCTTTGGTTTACTTTGCATTCAAAACTATCAGTAAAGAGTGCTTGGGATTTCTAACGCTCAGGGAAGTTGCTGACCAACGGCAAGAATTTTAACGTGTACTGCTGCAGGGGACGCGCTTAGCGATAGGTATATTAGCAGTCTGGTATGGCCTGACTGTGTTCTCGTCCTCTCGGCCTGATCACCACAGGCTGACGCGACGCAAGAAACCAATCTGAAGCTAAAACACCGTGACTCGGAGTATATGAAGGACGGCTTTTATCTTATTTGATGTTGGCATTCAGTAAACCGTAGTAATCCCGACATATTCGCAGTCTACCCTGCCATAAAAGTCTGTTTATTTACATATACTTCATCGCAGCAAACCATGCGGATCCTTGAAATGATGGAAGGTCTTCAGCACTTCGGCTTCTCTTACGCAAAAAAACTTAAGGTTAAGTAACTACGCCAAATAGGATGCCAATAACATTTCCATCCAACCAGTCCTGCAAAGTATGGCCTGTGCATTTTTAGAATAAGTTCTTTGCCAAGTTGGTACTCTGTCCGAAAGAATCTCAAAGGTTCACCATGCAGCACTGAGGATTTGCATAGCCCGGAAAATTTGTTCAAATTATTACGTGCTTCGGTTTTGGTTGCCTCGCTAAGCAGTTTCCTTCTGAATTTGGTCATACCCCCTAGCCTCGCATTTTATCATATTAAGTTGAATTTCGGCATCCCCAATCTTAACGACGATTACCAGGACTCATTTTTCACTGAAACCAGCGTTTTCTATCAGCTTCAAAGGCTCTCCGGAGGCTTTGTTCACCTAATTAGACAAAAATGCCTAGTCACGTTTAAAAGCCCCCAAATAGTATACATATGAACAGCATGCACCGCTAGGCATTCCTAATTTAGAATCTGATCTTCGAACTAGCTGGAAATCATTAGCAGTGAGCCCTTTTGTTTGTCCATTCGATACGTTAATCTGTTAATCTTTAAAATGAAGCGATTATCCGACTGAGAAGTCTATTTTTTCGATCGAAGATTACATCCTGATTTGTATAGTAAATAGCATCTAAGTCTGATAAGCCTAACGGCAGAGGAGCCACTTGCTCACAACATGATTTGGTAATGTATCTTAATGCAGAACTCCGTGGAGGCTCAGGTCGCGTGGGATTCACGTGTTGACTGCGTTGTTGGGGTAAGTGACTGGGTGCTATGGAATAGATGCAGCGAAAGAAAATAGAGTTTCTTTGGTGGTTCAACTACGTCTAAATACAGAAGCACAAAATTAAAATGAAATTGCAGAACGCACTCAAGTGTTCCCCAGTTTTTGACCGTTGGCAATACTTATCGCTGTGGCTCGACTTAAATGCCTTTGGTCAGCAAAGACTGCTGAGGAATCGAGTAAACTACCAAAGTTTGGTGGTTCATCTAGTTAGGAGTTCAATATGTCCATTTTGGTTATTGGCCCGCCTATATATCACATATCAACCCGCAAACGTCGGACAGGTCATTATCATCCCATAACTAGCAAAATAAGTAGGCGGTGTTCAACAAATCTCGCTAGATCCTGAAAATTGTGTGCAATTTTTCCGATGCTCATTTAACCCTAGCATTGCTTCCAGATGGCGATGGCCCTTTTTGATACCAAAGCATTTTGGATGATTAAGTGACCAATGTTTGCCACAGTTTCACTCTCAGAGTAGTATTTCGCAAGTTAAAAAGTGCTTTGGTAAAGGTTCCGTTTAGGGACTATTATAATACATATTTACATTAGATTACATTACATTACATATTTATAAACACAGCATCTCGCGAATAATAAGTAACACACTTCTACTCATAAGTTTAAAAGAGTCAAAATGAGAAGAAACCTGTCTGCGGTGTTAAATAAATGCAGTGCGTAACGGTGACTTCGAGCTGCCTAATCTATTTCAGTCCCTGCCCATGTCATTGTTAGCGCCTTGCCAAGCATGTTACCTGCCTTGCGTGACTAAAATTTCCGAGACCTAATTGAATCCATTCAATGTTGGCACCATTTGGCAAGGAGGTGAACGCCCATGTCTGCGTAACAGAACCCTGTAAGCCAATTGCTTGACTTCATGCAGTCAGTATGCGGCTTTGGCCACTTTCATGCACATGCAAAAAAGAACGGCCGCTCGTCACCGAACGGTCGACTATTAATTGATCAACTATGGTCTCAAGAAGTTTTCCTTGTAATATTTCAGCTGAATCTGGAAACTTTCGTCGCAAGGGCCTGCGTTTTCGAACCTGTGCATCTGAATTGTGGGATAAAATGGCTCCTACGTGTGATGACTTACATGTGAAAAGATTCTCAACAATTACAACACTCATAGGTATTTTGGCAGATTTGGAAAAATTCATATGGACCCAACTGTGAAAAACTCGGCGCCTCGGTGGGATTCTAAACCACACAGTAAGGAGAAGGTTTTAGTACAGCCAACGCTCTAACCACTTGAGCTACGAGGCCCCGCCGGACGACTCGAGTTTTTCACAGTTGGGTCAATATGAATTGTTCCAAATCTGTCAAAATACCTATGAATTACGTGAGCCTGGTAGTCATCTGGTGGATTCTAGGTGAATTACTTAGGAAATCCTGCTTGGGCAGTCAACTTACTGTATCAGATTTGGTGGATTCCAGACGTTGCAGTAGGTTCGTCGGGTAACTTGGTTAGAGCGTTGGCTGTACTAAAGCCTTCTCCTTACTGCGTGGGTTCGAATCCCACCGAGGCGCCGAGTTTTTCACAGTTGGGTCAATATGAATTACAACACTCTCATTGCGAATGCCAAACAAATGTTTAAACCATTCGAGCGGCTGTCGTAGAAATAGAACTGCAGAATCTTAAAGAAGCTAGGTCATCAGGGCCGGACAATGTACCGTGGAGGCCCCTAAAGGTGTTGATAAGTGACCCCCAAACCACTGGCACACTTCGAATGGAAATGATCAACTACTTACTCAATAAATAAGACTGAGTCTCGGACCAGCGCTAGTATTTTTTTGCCAACAAGTTTAAATTGTGTCTGTCGTAAAGTAATGGAGATCATACGCATGAAATCGACTCTAAAGTTGTTAGAGGTGAATAACTTACTTTTAGGACTCCAACATGGCTTAAGATAGAACTGTTTTTCTATTTCCGACTTGCTGCTTTCAACTGTTCAGTGGACATGTGCATTGGAGTAGAACGTAGTATTGGCATCATCTACTCTGATTAAAGGTAGGCTTTCGACAGTGTTCCACTCAAGCGACTAATTCACGAAAGTTCCGAAGTCGGACTAAGAGGCAAATCGCTCACATGGATCATAGAGTTCCTCATAGGGAGATTGCAAACTGTATGTGTTGGTGTCTCGAGGTTAACATCTACTCCCGTTTTAATCGGCGATTCCCAGGGCTCAGTTCTTAGGCCTTTGCTCTGTAAAACCCCTCGAACTGTTTAGAGTTGTTTGAATGATGTGACACTTCCCGCGCGGACCTAGGATGGTGATGGTATGACCGCTCTTCAGTGAAAATGGCCGGTGCCCTTCCCTCTCTCTACGGCCGACCCCCCTTCCCACAACTCACCGTAACGCTCACTTCCCTCTCTCTTCGTCGGCACCTACATCGGCCCTTCCCTGCGGTTGTCAACAGCGCTGCGCCCCCCACCGGTTGTGTAGCAGGCATGTCAGTGTCGCCTAACCATCCAGAAGGGTCACCCCCTTGCTGTAACTCAGCTCGCTTGTACACTTAACCACTGTTATATGTATCCCAGTTTCCAACTCTTCCCACCAGACTTTCGTGCCTACCCAGCGATTCTTCCTCCCTTTCGTATGGATGAGTACTGTGGTATGTTAAAAACTCTTCAGATCGGTCTTAGTCAGGATCTATTCCCAGTGCTTTACTACCTCTGTGTGTGCTACCCTTGACGTCCCCGGACGCTACAGCTCTTCCCAGTTTGTATCAACGGCCATGGTGACAATCTAGGCTCTCGCGCCGTCATGTTTTCTGACGATGTTAAACTCTGGAGAGTCTTTAGGCTGACGCAGATGGGCGCACATTCGAAGATGGCGTAAACCGACTTAACAGCTAGTTTGTTTGTTGGCTCCTACATTCTCACGCTGGCAAGCGTTGTATTCCAAAGCTCAATAGTAGAGGGAAGAACGAGGTGCATGATTCTTTTTATACACCTGCTCGATATTAAGGAAGAGAGGGACTTCGTTGTTCCGATAGCCCTCTCGCTTAACTTGTCTTCGCAATGTCTAAGACGTTAAATATGCGGTACAGATTCTATTAGTGCTGCGACGGGAGTTTGTGCATGTTGATCGCGATCTGTTCGTTG